TGGGTGACGTGCCTGAGCCCTGCCCGCAGACCTCCCTGGCTGTGCTGTCCAAGGTGGAGCTCAGGGTCAGCTGTAAACACCTCCTGGACCGCGACACGCTCAACAAGTCAGACCCCTGTGTCCTGCTGCTGATGCAGTCCCAGGGCCAGTGGATGGAGGTAGGAGGGTAGGGGGCTCTTCTGGCACCCGCCACAGTGGGCAGGGGATGGTGGGCACTGGGATGTGGTGGGGCTGGCCACAGGGTAATGGGTGCAGGGTTCTGCATGCTGGGTGCAGAGTGGCTGCACTGTGGAGTGCAGGAGATGGTGGGGAGCGAAGTGCAGGGTGCAGGAGACGGTGCAGAACTGGGTACAAAGCAGGGTACAAGGTGCAGAATGGGATGCAGGACAGAGTACAGACTGCAAGAGATGGTTCAGAGCTGGGTGCAGGGCACAGAGCAGGATGCAGGGTGCAAGAGGTAGTGGAAAGTGAGGTGCAGGGTGCAGGATATGGTGCAGAACAAGGTACAGAGGGCAGAACAGGGTGTAGGGTGCAGGAGATTGTGCAAAATGGGGTACAAGGTACAGAGCAGGGCACAGGGTGCAGAAGATAGTGGGGAGCAGAGTACAGGGTGCAGAGCAGAGTGCAGGAAATATTGGAGAATGGGGTGCAGGGTGCAGAGCAGGGTGCAGGGTGCAGGAGACAGTGGGGAGCAGAGTATAGGGTGCAGAGCAGAGTGCAGGAGATAATGGAGAATGGGGTGCAGGGTGCACACAGGGGCTGCTGGACACGGTGCAGAGCTCACAGTGCAGGGTGCTGGGTACAGGGTGCAGGGTACAGAGCAGGGACAGGGTGTGAAGGTGGAGGGCACATAGCATGAGACTCGTGGAGCAGATGTGGGACAGTTGTCCTTCCAGGGACAGTGATGACGCTGGGGCACAGCCAGCCCCTGGGACTGTGGCAGGGTGAGAGAGCAGGTCAGGATGAAGTGCCCATGGTGCATGGCTCCAGCACAGCTCCACTGCCCCAGGACAGGGCTAGGGGACACCTCAGCCACTCCTGGAGTGGCTCAGGGCTGGTGGGCTGGTGTCACCCTGCATGGGACAGGCAGCTCAGGGGGGTTAGGGCTGGCATTGCAGCCATGTGCCCCTCACTGCTCCGTGCTGGGGGACCCTGGTGCCCCTGAGGGCAGGTGCTAGGGCTGGCACTGGAGCTGGCAATGGGGCTGGCACTGGGGCTGATACTGGCACAAGGGATGTCATTGGGGTGGTAATGGGGCTGACACACACTGGCACTGGGGCTGGCACCGGGTCTGGCAGACACCGGGATGGCACTG